ACAGATCTTGGTGAGATTAAGGCCAATCTGCCAGAGCAAATTCCAAACTAGCTGGGGCTTCAAGGAGACCCTGCCTCAAAAAAAAAAAAAAAAAGGGCAACGGAGCAACAAACTGGGTTAAAGCCTTTAGCCTAAAGCTAGCCCAGGTCCTCTCCATAGCAGCTGTGCCATGCAGGTAGGTGGGTGGTGACCCCAGCATGTTCCACCTGTGACAACTTCTGTGACTTTCCACTGAAAGCAAGACAGTCCTGCCCAAATTTCTTTTCTGTCCGGGACAGATCTTCGCTCAAATAAAGCTATCCTTAAAAGACGTTGCTACAGGCTGGAGAGGTGACTCCATAGTTAAGAGCAGATACTGCTCTTGCAGAGGGCCCAAGTTTGGTTCCCAGCACTCACATGGGGTACCTCACAACCACCTGGAACTCCAGCTCTACCTTCCACAGGCATTTGCACACTCATGCGATAACCACACAGACAGAGCGTGTAATTTTTAAAGTAATAACAAAGTGGTTTTTTTTTTTGTTTTTTTTTTTGGTCTTTTTGAGACAGGGTCTCCCTGTAGCCCCAGCTGTCCTGGATTCACTATGGAGACCAGGCTGGCTTCAAACTCACAGAGATCCAAAGGCGTACGCCACCATGCCCGGCTTTATTTATTTTTATGTGTACGTGTGTACTGCCTGCATGTAGGTGAGTGCACCCATGTCATGCAATGCCTGGAGGACAGAGAGGCTGTCGGATCCCCTGGGACCGGAGGTATGGACAGTTGTTAGTTGCTATGTGGGTGCTGGGATTTGAACCTGGGTCTTCTGCAAGAACAACCAGTGTTCTTAACCGCTGAGCCATCTCTCCAGCCCCACATAAACCTTTTTTTATGTGCATGACTGTTTTGCCTGATGTGTGTAAGTGCACTGGAGTTGTGCAATGCCTGCAGAGGTCAGAAGAGGGAATTGGATCCCCTGAAACTGGAGTCACAGATGGTTGTTAGTCGTCGTGTGGGTGCTGGGAACTGAACCTGGGTCCTCTGAAAGAGGAGCTAGTGCTCTCAACTGCTGAGCTGTCTCTCTAGTTAGACAACCTTGCCACTTCTAAGGCAGCACTATGCTGAGAACAAGACTTCAGCTTTTGAAAAAAGGAGGAAAGGACAGCAGTGCTGTGCACTCTCATCCTGACGGAACGCGTCCTCAGGAGCAGTCGATCCCACTTTACAGCCAAACTTGAGGCTCTAAGAGCAACGCACTTGTCCCGGTGCCTTAAGTAAGAAAAGGTAAACTTCTAAGAAGGTTGTGTCAAAACACCTGCTTGCCAAAGTTGGCCTCCAGAGGCCCAGTCCTTTAACTCCAGTGCAGCCTTCCACCCTCTGTGAAACCTTGGGAAGCAGCCCACCAGTTCAAGCAGGATTGCTGGTGCAGTCAGTGGCCAGCAGGCTTTACCTTTTCGACCAATCTGATACACATCACCACAGGTAGGAACCTGCACCTGACATCTCTCCTCACCCAGAGTCCTGTGAGCACCGTCTTAGAAGTAGCACACAGACACTCCATAGGCCACAGCATCCAGGTCAACAGAGAAGAAATGGCTTCCTCCAGACTGAAAGTTTATACTTCATCCAAGTTCTCAAGCAAGAGGAGAGTGAATTCCCCATGACTAACCACACACAGGCAAGCATGCCAGACAGCCTGTGGAACAAGCACCCTGGTCCCAGAGGCACATCCAGAAACATCTTCCAGAAGCACTCAGACACTGCCTCCTTCCCCCATCTACAATCACACTATGACTGGCCTTGATGACCCACCCTCCTCAGGTGAGTACCAACCAGTGCTCTCAGGACAGCTCCAGCAGCCGGGCTGCGTCTCTAAAGCTCTCTCGTGTCTTCTAGCTGCCTTTACTGTGGAGAACACGTGAGACTAGCACCTCCAGACCAGCAAACCACCACAGTAACATTACTGTCTCCTTACAAAACCACTCCGACAAAGAATGTCGAGACTAAGTTAGCTAAAACCAACTTCAGCATCTTATTAAAAATTCCTGGCGACCCCTGCATGGGAACCCACATACTTTGGCCCCAGAACTCAGGAGCCAGAGGCAGACAAATCTCTGTGAGATGGAGGCCAGCCTGGTCTACAGATCAAGTTCCAGGCTAGCTGAGGCTACAGGGAAACCTTGTCTCCAAACAAAAAAAAAGTAAGTTCTTGGTAAGCTGTGAAGATGAAACCTGACCTCTAGGCCCTCAGGTTGAAACCTCTGTCCCTCCCCCTCTCCCACCATGACCTCTACCAAAGAGGGCACAGGGAGAGGCTCAGCCCCTTTCACACCACTGTACTGCCAAGGGTCTGTTATTTCACTTGACACTTATGTGCTGCTCTCCCTGGACCCTGCCCTCCCCTGACCCTGCCTCTCTACCTCACCTGGTAATCCTGCTGTTACCCACGCAGTTTCTTAGAACCTCCTTCCATACATTTTTACTATGAAAGATGACATTAGAAGTTGGTTTCTGATTCACCAGTCACAGGACAGACTTAGAGGGCGCACACTCTCACTGTGGCTATCCTGGCAATTTTACTACCACACACTGGTTTAGGTTCCGTCGCTTTTCTTTTGGTCTTTTTTTTTTTTCGAATCTGTCTGAGACAGGGTCTCCCTGTAGCCCCAGCTGTCCTGGCTGGAACTCATTTCGTAGACCACGCTGGCCTTGGACTCACTGAGATCCACCTGCCTCTGCCTCTGAGAGGGCTGAGATTAAAGGTGTGCGCCACCACGCCCAGCCTTCCTTTGGTCTTTTTGAGACAGGGTCTCCCTGCAGCCCCAGTTGGCCTGGAACTCACTATGTAGACCAGGCTGGCCTCTCACTGGGATCCACCTGCCTCTGCCTCCTCCCGAGTGCTGGGATTAAAGGTGTAAAGGTGTGCACCAGCAGCCTGGTATTAGCTTTGGCTGCTCTTAAGTAAGGTAATTAATCAGCATTCCTTATCAGATCAACTAAGGAAGAGGGTGCAAGGAGATGGGATGTGAACCTTCTCTCTGAAGCAGAGCTCTAGGTCATTGCAACCCCAATGTCAACAGGCCTTGCTCTACCGCACAAGCATAAGGACAGAGACAGAGGAGTGCAAACAATCCAGGCTTTCATGGTTTTCCCCAAGGAGTTATCTTTTGCTCAAACACACCAACCCTGAAACTGACCTGGAAACCTGGGCAGTTGTGAGGCTCTAGACAGCTCAAGACAGCGACAGCAGCAGGGCCTTTTTCAAATCACATCTTCTTTCTCCCAGGGAGAGAGGGAGGAAGAGTGGGAAGGGGGGAAATACGACTTTTACTGCTTTTACCTGTGTACACTCAAAGCAAGGGAACCAGGTCAAGTCCACATGGCTACAGTCAGATCTCTACAGAAGGATGCCACAGGCCCCTGGCCTTTTCATCTGCTTTCCAGATGAAAAGATGGTGTGGAGATGACCATGCCATGGGGAAAAGCACTGCTGATGACCCTGGAGAGGACGTTCTCCACTCAGGTACAAGGTACTATGGCATTTCTCATAATTGACTACAACTGCAAACTGGCTTTTTAAACGATAAACATCAGCCCTATTTCCCCCAAAGGTCAGCATGGACATAATGAGCAACACAGAACCTTCCATCACACACCCAGCCACCTTCTCAGCAAGCCCCAGAGTGTGGTGACCCGCATTTGCAGCTCCTGGGCTCTGTATCTCACCCCAAACCTAGAAACAGCTCTGGTATCCCTGGCTGTCACTGGATACCACTGGACCCTGAGCCTTCCTGGTCCTCACAGGCTTGGGTCTCTGGTGCCTAGGATGCTGCACCTCTCTGAGTGACCCACTGCACTTTAAGAGGACATGGTGGCAGCACGTTTTCTAATTCTGTAGTACTGATGCCACCGAGGCGGGTGGCGCTGCTACAACTGCTGCACTTGTCGCTCTGTACCACGGAGCAGCCAGCGCACAGGGCTTAGAGCTTCAGCCCAGGGTTCAGCGGAACACTCCTCTGCAGAGGACTCCCAAACAAAAGCAGTCTGCAAGCTGGGCAAAGAGCCACTCTTCAAACCCAAAGGGCCCTGGGGAACGGAAGGCCGGCAGAGCAGGGTGTGAAACCTGCAACTGAGGCGCCTCTGTGCCCAAGCCACACCGCCATGACCTCTTGAGTCCCCAGAGCACTGTACAGCGAGCATTCTGCTGACCTCCAGGATGGCATCAACAAAAACAGCCCAAGCCCTTTCAGGCGCTTCCTACCCCTAAACCAGTCACTGCTCCCGGCATGGAGTCCCCAGAAGGCCTCTCCGGCAGCAAGGAAGCCCAAGCCTTCCATCCAGACGTCCTCGGCATGTGGGGGAGGGGTTCGCCCTGACCTGACCTCACCTGAGTTGGGGAGAAGTAGGTGTCCTCTGGCCCCAGTCGTAACCCTGCGTAATATCTGGGCACCAGAGTTCCCTGAGCACTCTGGCCCTGGGCGGGGAAAGCCCTGATAAACTCCAGCTCCAGAGAGCCTCGGACCAGACACCTCCCCACAGTCCCGCAGCGCAGCCTCTCCCAGGGCCGCCGGCACCAGGCACCTTCCTCGAGGACCCTAGGCAGAGCATGTCCCCAGCACGGCCAGGGGCAGGGGCAGGGGCACCTTCCCTGAGGACCCCCGCACAGCACCTCCCCAACACGGCCAGGAGCACCGGGCACCTTCCCCGAGAACCGCCCCTACCCCGCACTCACAGCACCTCCCAGCAGGGCCAGGGGCACCGGGCACCTTCCTCGAGGACCTCGGGCACAGCATGTCCCCAGCATGGCCAGGCAAGCAGGGTCCCCCCCACCCCAGTCACAGCAGCTCCTCCGCCGGCCGGCAGGTCGCCCGGGCACCTGGGCAGAGGCCACCATCGGACCCCGCCGTGCACCCCGCGAGGCAGGCGGCCCGGGCACAGCCCCAGAACGCGGCCCAGAACTTCCTGGAACGGCAGCAGCCGTGGCCCCCGCCCTCGCCTCCCGCCGCGCGCGTCCACTCACCTGGGGGCAGCTGGAAGTTCTGGATGTTGGTTGGGTTCTGCGGCGGCTGCGGCAGGCGGGGCGCCAGGACGGTGGGCGTCAGGGTGGCCCGGATCCCGCCGGCCGTGGCGGTCGGCGTCCGGGGCAGGCTGGGGGTCGCCGCGGCCGCGCCTTTCGCCAGC